CTTAAATCATGCATCTTTTAAAGAAAATTGATGAAGACCGAAAACTACATAAAAATCCTAAAAACTGCCGAAAATTAAAAATAATAAATCAACAGCCAGTCAAATTCCTAGTCTAGAGTGAAGATTCAACCAACATACTAAACAAATTCAAGATTACAAATTTTTCTAATTAATCTATATGCAACATGTGAACGAAATAAGGTAAAGATCACTTTTTTTTTTTTTGGTCGGTAGGTAAAGATCACTTAAAGACCCGTTCTTTATGCAAGAGTGCTTCTAATCTAGCATGAGCATGGTATAAGCATGCAGGAAAAATGGAGTCATGAAAACAAAGGGGGAATCTTGAAAGTAAAGATCAACTCTTTTTATCCAACCACGGCGATCAAAGATTGATCCTAATCCTACTCGGATTAGAGATTATACCTAGATTGAGTTACCACCAAGGACCGCCTTGGGACGACGTCGAGGATGGAAAGCCGCTGTTGGGTTTTTCCTAACTTAAACTATACATTAGTGTGAGCTTTTCGTTTCTTTTTTTTTAGTTTCAATCACACAAGCGTAATCGTCCATGAGCATTTATGAGCTCCAGTCAGAAAGAACTTGGATCCATTATAATTGCTATAAATAGTAAACATTAAACATAAATATCTCATGAAAAACGACTAATTCCATAAACCATTCACATTAATACATCATTTCGGGAATCAATTTTTCATATCAGTTTTAGTATCCCTAACATGACTCTTTTTTTTTTTTTGCCGAACCCTAACATGACTTTGACTTCATACTCATTTTTAAAATGCTCCAACTGTTACATTCCTTAACTTTTTATACCAGGCATTATTATTCACTCTTTGAGATATATTACATGACATCCATCTTAAGCCTCAAGTTCTAATTGCGAATATTGATGACCCATTTCGGGTCCTTGTTGCCCGTACACCACATTCAGTTCTCTTTCAAAAACGATTGAAGGCTCTGCGGAAGGACAAAAATAATTGAAGGCTCTGCGGAAGGACAAAAACAGAAGCACTTGATTAAAGGCCGTCCATTGCTTCTGCTGTTGTACTCGAGTCCGGACAATAATTTCTCCTCATAGCAGGGCATGCCCGAAAGCTTTTAGGCCTGTCGAAGCAAAATGCGGATGGATGGTCGAAATGGAAGTCAAAAAGCTAAAGGTGTTTGGTGACTCTATTCTAATAATTCTCCAAACCAATGGAAAGGGGAGAACTAGAGATGCCAACCAGTGCTTTATCACGAGTACCTGGAAGAACTCGTAGAAGAGTTTTGATGAGATATTTTTTGAGTACTTATCAAGACTCACAATCAGTTTGCTAATGTGCTTGCAACATTGTCATCCACACTACAAGTTATAGCTGGATTAAACATTGAGCCACTGAAGATTGAAGTTCTTGCAAAATCGGCCTACTTCATGACGGAAAGACATGATATTAAGATATCATAAATTACATCAAAAAGCAAGAATTCCTCAAGGAAGTGATTTGGCTGATCGAAAATATATCATGAAGCATAACTTCCTTAGTTGATGACATACAACATAAATTATTCAATAGAGAATGTTGGATATCTAGAGGCTTTCCATAGACACGGGAATGAGGTGAAATTTTGTTCCATTAAATACTTGCTAAAACTATAGAACGAAATTCTTCCCATCATACATCTAAGAAGACACACAAGGGGAAAATTATCAAAAAAATCTTAAACTTATTATAACTGTGTCAATTCATTCTTAAAACTTTTTTTTGACCAATTGAGTCCTAAACCTTTTGCATTTGTACCAATTCAATTCATCCAACCAATTTTGGCTAGAAATCGCTGACATTGATATCTACGTGGCGCGGCCGACGCTAACGTGAATATTTTTAAATAATATTTTATTAATTTTTGAATTTTTTATTTACAGGGCCAATTAGAGGAAGAAGGGGAAAAAAAAAGAAAGAGAAAGAAAAGAAAAAAAGGATAATAAAAAGAAAATATATTATTTAAAAATGTCTACGTCAACTAGGGGTTTGCATGATTCGAGTGGGAGGGTGGGCAATTCTCACCCTCGAACCGGGAACCGCCCGCTAAGGACCGGTTTCGAAAAATTGGAACTGGAAACAGCCCGTTGATTCCATGGACCCACCAAGGAAGCGAATGACATTTCTCGAGTGGGTCCATGAAACCGGTCCCATCAAGCTTCACACGTCAGCATTGTAATATGCAACAAAGAATTACGCAACGAAAAGAAATGATTCTAAAATAATTAAAATTACACATCATCATTATGTTCATACTACAATGGTTTTTATCGATTTGGGGTGACTGATGCAGTGCAACATCATTTCTGTGGTATTGAACAGTATCTACTTGTGGCCTTGTTTATGCAGATATTAAAGTAAACAGGAAGATTCGAAAGACCTATGGGTAAATAAATTTAAACGAGAAAAGAGAGAGATGGATGACTCCCTTACCATTCTGTCAAAGCTTTTCTCTGTGTTTTTATCCCACCTTCACCAATTACTATCAAGAAAGCATAGGCTTTTGCTTACTAGGTCTGGGCATCGACGGAGAAGAATGAAAGAGTGAGAGTATTGAGCGAGTTTCATATTTAGGGATTTAGAATTTTTCTTTCTTTTTTTAAATTAAAAATTAAATAAAATATCTAATATATAATATTATATTGCCAGTCCAGTCCGGGTGGACGGGTGGGCAGTTCCAAACTTGAAATCGGGAACCAGCCCAGTACCCATCAGTTCCAATTTATTGGAACCGAGAACCGGATTGGTTCCCTTAGGAACCATCAGTTCTGGGCCGGTTCGACCCAGTTCTGGGCCGGTTCGACCCAGTTCTGGGCGGTCTGGGCGGTTCTCGGTTCCTTTGCATACCCCTAACATTAGCGTCAACTACGTCATGTAAGACAGCCAGTATCTATGTTAGTAATTTCCGGTCAAAATTAGTCGAATGGACTGAATTGGCACAAATACAAAATGTTTAGGATTTAATTGGCCAAAAAAAATTTAAGACACAATTACAATAACTTTAAGACTTTTTAAATAATTTTTTTGACGTACATGTCCTATCCATTCAAGTGAAAGTGGTTTTTAATAAACAAGAAAAGGGTGTCGAGTACTAAAAGTGACACCTCAAATAAAAATCTGACATATCCTAAATAGACGAGGTAAAAATTATTACAAATAAAATGAAGAAAAATACTATTATAACTCTATTGTCACATCAAATATCAAATATGCGAGTTCATACCTCAATCAGCATTACTTGTATTCAATTGAAACGACCTTGTAGATTTAAGCAGACACTTGTGAGGTTTATCGAATCCAAACGCTCGTACACAGTCACAGGATGTCGTGCTTCGCGTGCATGCAATTCATTTCCTACGGCTACCATGAAACATGCTTAAACACTTCTTCTCTCTACCTCATGCACAAAAAGTGAATTATACATAAGCCCGTCAAACGGCTGAGTCGGATTCGATCCAAATTAACTCATTTAACTCGTTAAGATCAATTTTTATACATTACAAATTTAATAACTTATATTTGATCCAACATGTACCTGACTCATACTCGGCCCCACCCGAAATCCATGTTAGCAATTTTTTTTGCCATAAATTGTTGTATTTGAATAATGCACCGGCTCTATGAACCTATATCCAACCCGATGCATAAATTATTGATTTCAAAATCAATTGTGCTCATAGAATACGACGGTAACATTGCGTGAAAAATATGAACAAGAACAGAGGATCCAATTGATTTGGTGCCCAATCGTCCGTCATTGATTGATAAACATCAAATTGATTCGATTCTATGGCATTTCGAGACCCTCGATTGGCCTACTTTTTAAGGAGTATACATGCATGTCGATTAGGCGTACATCAAATTCACAGAGTATTGGCAACGAAAATTCCTATAATATGTTCACGGTTACAACTTTAGGCTCGAAACTTTGTCCGGATAATTCGCGAAATAGCTATCTATCATCTATATTGGGGTTGCTCCTAAAAGCGAGAAAATATTAGGTACCCCAAGCGATACCAAGTCAGTAAAAAAATAAGTCCATTCTTCGTGCGTCACGTGTGCCTCGCGGGCCCACCTGCCAAAAAAAAACTCTCTCTTCTACTCTTTCTCCTCGCCTCTCTCTTCTGCACTTGCCTTTTTTCTCTCTTTTTTGCCGCCACCATGGCCATGGATCTTGAGCTTGAGCCCAACATCTCGGCCTCCATTGCCACATAGCTCAATCTCGCGGTTGCGAGCATGTTCGAGCTTCAAGCTCGCGGCCATGGCTGGTCATGGTCGCTCGAGTTTCGAATCCCGTCGATAGCCGCTAGATCTAGAGACTTTTGGCCAAGGATACTTAATCCGGAGTCTCGTCGTCGCCATAGCTGCAGAGCTCGGATTCGAGCCTAGAACGCGAGCTCGAGCACAACCGTTCGACCATGGCTGCCATCTGTTGAGCTGACGGCCATGGCGGCCCGAGTTGCGACGACTCGCGGCCATGGATGCTCATGCTCAAGCGCACAGAAGCCGTGTAGATGGAGCTTCGAGCTTGCGGCTACGGCAATTAGACTCGAAGTCTCGTGGCCAGGGACACTTGATTTGAAAACTTGCAGCAGCCACAGACGAGAGGTCAAACTTGAGCTAATGGCCATGGCCAAGAAGAAACCGCAGTGAAGAGAGAGAAGAGAGGAGAGAGAGCAAGTGCAGAGAGAGAGAGAGTTTTTTCTGACAGTTGGGCCCGCGAGAGACACGTGGCAGGGCTTGTTTTTTGCTGATGTGGTATCACTTGGGTACCCACCCACTATTTTGTTGGTCCTCCAATGACCGACATAGTACAAGAACGTCTTCTCCTAGAGCTTAAACGTGGACTCTTCTTTTATTACAAACATTAACTACTTCCCAAGCGTTTTTCTGCCACAAAATTCACCAACCATTGAGAGAGAGAGCGAGAGAGAGAGTATTGTAGACAATTCTAGAGAGAGTATTTAACAATCACAACTGATCAAGAGAGCCATTAGGAGAAAACCTAAAAAATGGAGAAGAAAAAAATATTTTACAGAGTGAGGCTACGGGAGGATTCATTTTTTGTAGCTGAGCACGGCATATACGGTTTGAATTGCAGTGAGCCCGAAGAGGACGACGGCCGCGATGAGAGACAATATAACCCAAGGATTTCTGAAGTGCGTGTGCATGAGATTGGCCCTCCACATGTGCCTCCTCTTCTTGCAGTACTCTTTGACGTCGTTCATCACGCCACGGAGGCTGCTGTCGCAGTCGAGCATCAAGTCCTTGCCCAGCGAGTTGAACAGCTTGGCTGCCGCCTCATCACTCTCCATGTAATTGTGGATGATACCCACGGCGCGGAGCAATGCGACGTCCCGCCCCTTGTCGATGATGTTGTCCATGAAGCAGATGTAGGACATGACCTCGCTCCCAGCCCCGACGTGGGAGAGCTCGAACGCGATGAGGTTGAGGAATATGGACTCAGTGTCATCTTCCACCAGAAACTTGGGAAGCCTCAGGACTCCGCTGGCAAAGGAGACGTTCTTGAGGCTGTTGGTGTCGTTTACTTCGAACTGGACCCCGTGCTCATGGAGCTCGGTGGCTGGCAGGAGTAGATCCTCGCTGTCCTCGTTCTTACCCTCCTCGCTGTCCTTGTTCTTACCCTCCTCGCTGTCCTTGTTCTTACCCTTGTCCTTCTTCTTGGTCTCCATCAGCATACTCTTCCTGTAGACGTCCAGGACGTGCAGGCATTTTCCCATCGTTGGATTGTTCGCGCTGGGGCTGTCCTTGTTCTTACCCTCCTCGCTGTCCTCGTTCTTACCCTTGTCCTTCTTCTTGGTGTCCATCGGCGTCCTCTTCCTGCGGAGGTCCAGGTCGTCCAGGCATTTTCCCATCGTTGGATTGTTCGCGCTGGGGAAGTAGAAATTGAGGATGAGCCTGTTGATGTAATTGTCCTCCTGCATTGTTGGAGTAAAGTCAGTGCATTTTCTCTTCCTCCTGCTGTCGTAACTCGTAAGGATTGTCCTCGTGTAAAAGGTCAAAAAAGAAGTTTCCGATAGTGGTCATAGATCTAATAATGTTTCGTCGGTTGATCTCAAACCGTGCATCCAAAACGCTTGGAGCAGTAGATTTGATTCCTCTGAGATTGCCAAGATGTACTGTGAACATAGTATGGCGGTTTACATGCGTGTAAGAAACCTCTCTTACGATGGAGCGAAATCTAAGGAACGAACCTTCATGTCACCACAGACGGCGACCAGCCGATCCAGCACTAGCATCGGCAGCTGATTCTCCAGCAGCAGCATGTCCCGCTCAATGACCAGACTTACGTAGAACTTACCGTGGTTGCTGAAGATGGGGTCATTGGGCTCGTAGTCGTTCACCTCCTCGGTTCTGGTCCTAAGGATCTCGAGCATGAAGCAGCCATCAGTGATCATCAGCTGCAGGAAATTGCTCGCGGTGCCCTCACCGCTGCCCACCTTCCACTCCGGGTCCAGTGCCTCGTAGCTTGCCGCGAGGTCCTCTTCCACCTCCCTCAGGGACTCGAGGAAGCATTCAAAAGGCTTCCCGGACCGCTTGAGGAAGTGGAGGAGCGCGCGGTGCTTGTGTTCCTCCACGGGAAGGAGGTGGGGGTACTTCTTGTGGTGATAGGGGCCGAAGGAGACAGCCAGAGGCTGGTAGGCCTCGCGGTTGAGGTTGGTGCGGCGGCCGGGGGCCTTGTAGATGGACCGCTTCCCCCAGTGTTGTTGATCGTCGGAGGTCATGGCTTTGAGGCTCTCGTTGACTTGGACAATCCAGTCGGTCTCGTTGCTTTGAGGCATGGTTCCGCAAGTTTCTGATCTGGAGTGTCTTATGTTCTTTTTTTTTTTTTTAAGCTGAAAGGAGTGAGAGAAGAGGTGAATTTATGGAGAAAATATTAGGTGCCTCTGAATCACGAGAAGAGCGAGCCCAGCGCGGGAGGCAGCCGAGGACCCAGAGGGCCGGGGATAGATGGAACAGCAGCCCCGAGAGCGGCAACGGCGACGTGCCAGACGCAGATCTGAGCTCGGAGCGACGTGAGGCTCTCCCTCTTGGGCGCAGACCTGAGCTCGGCAGAGGCGGAGAGGCTCGGAGTCCAGCAGCTGCGACGGAGGGGCACTTGGGGGAGGCGACGTGCCAGGCGCAGATCTGAGCTCGGAGCGACGCGGGCTCTCCCTCTTGAGCGCAGATCTGAGCTCGGCGGAGGCGGAGGGGCTCGGGATCCAGCAGCCGAGACGGAGGGGCTCTTGGGGGAGGCGACGTGCCAGATGCAGATCCGAGCTCGCAGCGACGCGGGGCACTCCCTCTTGGGCGCAGATCTGAGCTCAGAGCGACTGGCGGGGCTCTCGGGAGAGGCGGAGGCGGAGGCGGAGGCGGTGGAGAAAGAGAGAGAGTGTGTTTTGGCTGTTCTTTCCCAGGAGTGCAGGTAAAAAGGGCCTTGTAAATTGAAAAGAGGAGAGAGAGAGAGAGGGGGACGTTTTAGGCGGGAACTTAATTTTTCAGCTCTGTCCCTACACAGAGAAAAGAAAGCTTTTTTTTTTTAATTTTTCAGCAAGTCCAACTCAGCGTCACGTGTCTCCCGTTGAGTGGAGCCAACTAAGCTCATGCGCGCCACGTAGGCGAATGACCCGGTGTATGCTAATCACTGAATATTTTGTCAAAAAAAGAGGGGGGGGAAACGCGAGCGGGAGAAGGACAGAGTAGGTGATGGCAATTTATGAAGAGAGAGAGAGGGGAGGCCAAACTTAAACGGAGCCTGACACGGTGGGCCCCTCGGACACGTGTCGCCATCTTAGAGTTGTGATTTCTCCACGGTGAAATCACCAGAGGCACCTAATATTTTCTCGTGAATTTATAGGGAAGGAGAGAGAAAGAGAGAGAGAGATGGGAAGAGGGTTTGGGGGTGACCAAGTGAGGAGTATGTCACCTTTTGTGCACCAGGTAGAAGACAAAAAGTGTTTAGGTAATGTCCCATGAAAAACGTGGGAATCGAATTGCATGCACGCACGCACGCCATCCCCATAATCTTACTCTTACGACCGTGTACGAGCCTTGGGATTTAATGAATCTCCCGAGTGTGTCTGCCTAAACTGAAAGGCTCGTTTTGAATTGAGTGCATGCAATGTAATTTGGGTACCGACGTCACCTATTTGACGTGACATTAGATTTATAATTTTTACCTTTTGTATAATCTAAATTTCTTACTTGAGATCTCCTTTTTACAACTCAACGCACTTCTTCCATATATACATCTCATGTAGCGAAAAAAAAAAATTTCCACAAAGAGTGACTTTCCGATAATATATATGCTTAGTTAGCTCAAATAATCACGTAACTTTATATAAATTAACTTCGGATTGCACACAAGACAAGTTATAATCATCTTGTTTCAAATTCAAAATCTTCCGCTGGCTTCATATGGAGAAAAATTGATTCTAGTAAAAAGATATATTAAAACTCAAATCGAAGTCAAACTAGTATGTCAAAGTCAGTTTTATAAGTTAAACTAAATATTCGTGTTGCTGGGGAGGGAATTACCATCTAACGAAGAAATCAAAATGCACACCAAAACCTCCCTTGTAATTCCACAATCATCTAAAACGCCTAAGAAAAGTAGGATTTTTTTCACCAATTCAAAATCAGAATAAGCAAAACCCCAATAGGAAGAAACTCAAGATGACCCTTCCCCTAACTCCACAAGGGGAAAAAGAAAACAAATCCAATTCACAGTCGGGCAAGGCTAGCATGAGGTCGCGGTGGTTGGTTGTGGAAGCTTTGTGGGCATGGCTATTGACAGTAGCAGGTTGAAAGGAAGAAAGGAAGAAGAAGAAGAGAAATGCAAGGCGCATAAGAGAGAGACAAGAGACTTAAAGTGGGCCGCCATCTAAGGCATGTGGCGATCAATGAGTGAAGTAGAACGTGACTCATGTAAACATTCAGTGCTTCGCTAGCTTTTATTGAATCTTAGATTGGGTTGGGCCATTTTTCGCTCCGTTACTAAATTTTTTTCTTCGATCTATTATCTCCTTCCTATCTCTGTTACTAAATTTTTCTCTTCGATCTATTATCTCCTTCCTATCTACTTATGAACGAAAGTGAAGAGGTTCAAGTCCAAATTCTGAAATTAATAAGACAAATTCGAAGATAACGAAGTATGGCAGTTTTTAAATTTTTCTCAATGCAACTTTTCCTCCGTTTTCTTTTCTTCTTTTAATTTTATTTCCCTTTCAACAAAAATCTCTCTCTAACTTCCTTTCTTCCTTTCCTCCACTGTACTTCTTTATGTTATTTCCCCTAACTTTTTATTCCCATATATAAAAGATCAAAGGAAGTGCGGACTGGACACATAGCATCGAATCGTGCATAATTTGAAGTATAATAGAATATCTACACTAAACTCAAGTTAGAATGATATGTCTCTTATTCATATTTTACATTACAATGGCCTCTATCTATTAAATCGACGAAATTGAGCTTATGGAACACTTTCATTAGAATGAGAAAAACCGACTTTTAAGTGTCCCTATTTAATCGAACAGAATTTTCACATATTAAACATTATAAATTCCTTTAATTTCATTCAGAACGATATTGTTTCGTAGGCTATAATTTAGATTGGATCAACGGAGACGTCAGAATCGCTCCGATAGGAAGGCACATGGCAATCAATGAGTGAAGTAGAACATGACTCGAGTGAAGTAGAACGTGACTCACACGAAGATCCAGCATTTCTCTAACTTTTATTGAATCTTAGATTGGGTTGGGCCACATTTCGCTCCATTACTAGATTTTTCTCTTCGATCTATTATCTCCTTCCTATCTACTTCTGAACGAAAGCGAAGAGGTTCTAGTCCAAATTCTGAAATTAATAAGACAAATTCGGAGATAACGAAGTATGGCAGTTTTTAAATTTTTCTCGATTTAACTTTTCCGCTGTTTTCTTTTCTTCTTTTAATTTTCCTTTCTCTTTCAACAAAAATCTCTCTTTAACTTCCTTTCTTCCTTTCTTCCACCGTACTTCTTTATGTTCTTTCCCCTAACTTTTTATTCCCATATATAAAAGATCAAAGGAAGTGCGGACTGGACACATAACATCGAATCGTGCATAATTGGAAGTATAATAGAATATCTGCACTAAACTCAAGCTAGAATGATATGTCTCTTATTCATATTTTACATTACAATGGCCTCTATCTATTAAATCGACAAAATTGAGCTTATGGAACACTTTCGTTAGAATGAGAAAAACCGACTTTTAAGTGTTCCTATTTAATCGAATAGAATTTTCACATATCAAACATTATAAATTCCTTTAATTTCATTCAGAACAGTATTGTTTCGTAGGCTATAATTTAGATTGGATCAACGGAGACGTCAGAATCGCTTCGATAGGAAGGCTCTGGCGTGTTTCACCATTCTAAGGACCAGTTCAGTCGCAATCAGCGGGAGATGTCACGTCCTTCTATAGCTAGCAGATCAAGAAGTCCTTAATTCCAACCACTGAAAATTGACATGTGGGTCATTTCAATACCGAGCGCGTGATGCTCTTGTCTACTAATTGTTATCAGATGTGCTGCTTCCACTTTATCGGGGCTTAAGATAGCTAGATGATGTTCCTAACAATGAAATTCGAGGTCAGTTTTTGGTTAAGAGGATATGACAATCTCATAATTTTTTAAAGACCTTCACCGCAAGGATTGGAAATTCAACGTGGTACGACACTTCTGATGAAAGTTTTTTAAAAATTTATGGCACATAAGTGATCGATTGAAAGTTGAAACACTGGAGTGAACGTTATCCATAAGTCATGGCACTCTAGTGATTGGAAAAATAAGTTATGATACTCAAGTGAGTGGCGTACAAAAGTTATGATGCTCGTGATGTCCTTATATCCAAAATGAGAAATCAAATTGTGGTTGATAACGCTTGGGAGAGCCCGTTACGAACCCGACTTACTTTAGTCCATTAACTCCAATGTAACATTATATGGGCTTAATTAAAATGCTCATAATACCTATAAGCAATTTAATTAATATTTTTGTTTAGGGGTCGGGGTCAATACCTAATTCTTTTATGCAATGAATGCATAATTGAGTTGTCAAAATTTAAGTATCAACAACAAGCAATTGTGTAAACCCTTCAAACTAGGAAACTAGCTCAAATCGAAGACATATTCGTAACATTCTCTGTACATAATTAGCAGTTTGATGTCGGCTTATTTCTATCTAGGATTCTATAATGGCGGCCTAGAACGGTTAATATCTCTAGCTCTTTTTATTTCAGGAAGGATGTTGGAAGTTTCAAGATATTTCCTTTTCAGTCATAAAGGTATGTCTGTTCTCTGTGTTAATGATTGATTGCTTGATGACCGGAAATTACATAGATGACTTTGAAATTTGAAGCCGAAGGGGGAAGAGAAATGACTTAAAAGGCCATATTGGTTGTTCACTTAAATTCCCTGCAACTTGTTAAAATTTTAATCAAGAAGAAAATGGTGCAATGGAAGATTATATTTGCCTAAAACTTGATCATCCTTCACACAATTGGACAAATACGAAGAAAACTGAAACAAGAGAATCATCATTTCATAATGATAAATTAACAGCCAAATGTCCATCATTCGGTACATTTAAAGAGGGAAATGAAAAATTCAAAATCTTCCACTGGCTTCATATGGAGAAAAATTGATTCCAGCAAAGAGATATTAAAACTTAAATCAAAGTAACTAGTATGGCAAAGTCAATTTTATAAGTTAAACTGACTTTCGTGCTGCTGGGAGGGAAGAAATCAAAATGTGCATCAAAACCTCTCTTTTAATTTTACAACCATCTAAAACGTCTAAGAAAAGCCAATTCAGAACTAATTAAAACAAGCAAAACCCCAATAGGAAGAAACTCAAGATGACTCTTCCCCCAACTCCACAAGGGGAAAAAGAAAACAAATCCAATTCACAGTCGGGCAAAGGCCAACATGAGGTCGCGGTGGTTGGTTGTGACTTTGTGGGGGCTTTGTGGGCATGGCTATTGACAGTGGCAGTGGCTGAAAGGAAGAAAGGAAGAAGAAGAAGAGGAGAAATGCAAGGCGCATAAGAGAGAGACAAGAGACTGAAAGTGGGCCACCATCTGGGCAGATATTGATCAATGAATGGAGCAGAGCGTGACTCACGTGAAGATCCAACACCCTCCAATATTTTCTTGTATTAGACTAAGGATTTGTGTCATCTCAAAAGAATTCGACAAGCCTATCTAAATATATTCTTGATTATCTCAACTAATCTAGTCGGCTGTTATTAAGTCTTAGATTGGGTTAGGCCACATTTCGTTCCGTAACTAGATTTTCCACTTCGACCTGTCATCTCCTTCCTATCTACTTCGGAACGAGAGTGAAGAGATTCTAGTCCAAATTTCAAAATTAATATGACATATTCGGAGATAACGAAATATGACAGTTTTTAAATTTTTCTCAAAGCATCTTATCCTCCATTTTCTTTTCTCCTTTTAATTTTCCTTTTTCTTTCAACAAAAATATCTCTCTCCCCATCTTCCTTTCCGCCACCATACTTCTTTATGTTCTTTCCCCTAAGTTTTTATTCCCATATATAAAAAGGTCAAAGGAAGCGCGGACTCCAAAGATCACATCGACATCGTGCACAATTCAAAGTATAATAGAATATCTGCACTAAACTTGACTTAGAATGACATGTCTCTCATTCATATTTTACATCACAATGGCCTCTATCTATTAAATCGACAAAATTGAGCTTATGGAACACTTTCATTAGATAGAGGAAAACCGACTTTTAAGTGTCCCTATTTAATGGAACAGAATTTTCACATATCAAACATTATAAATTCCTTTAATTTCATTCATAACGATATTGTTTCGTAGGCTATAATTGAGATTGGATCAACGGAGACGTCAGAAACTTGGTGATCTGCCAGCTATAGAAGGACGCGACATCTCCTGTATGATTGCGACTGAACTGGTCCTCAAAATGGTGAAACACGCCAGAGCCTTCCTACAGGAGCGATTCTGACGTCTCCGTTGATCCAATCTCAATTATAGCCTACGAAACAATATCGTTATGAATGAAATTAAAGGAATTTATAATGTTTGATATGTGGAAATTCTGTTCGATTAAATAGGGACACTTAAAAGTCGATTTTTCTCATTCTAATGAAAGTGTTCCATAAGCTCAATTTCGTCAATTTAATAGATAGAGGCCATTGTAATGTAAAATATGAATGAGAGACATATCATTCTAACTTGAGTTAAATGCAGATATTCTATTATACTTCAAATTATGCACGATTCGATGTTATGTGTCCAGTCCGCACTTCCTTTGATCTTTTATATATGGGAATAAAAAGTTAGGGGAAAGAACATGAAGAAGTACAGTGGAGGAAAGGAAGAAAGGAAGTTAGAGAGAGATTTTTGTTGAAAGAGAAAGGAAAATTAAAAGAAGAAAAGAAAACGGAGGAAAATTTGCATTGAGAAAAATTTAAAAACTACCATACTCCGTTATCTCCAAATATGTCTTATTAATTTCAGAATTTGGACTAGAACCTCTTCACTTTTGTTCATAAGTAGATAGGAAGGAGATAATAGGTCAAAAAGAAAAATCTAGTAACGGAACGAAAAGTGGCCCAACCCAATCTAAAATTCAATAAAAGCTAACGAATCCTTAATTTAGGATATGAAAATATTAGGTGGCGCTGGATCTTCACGTGAGTCACGTTCTACTTCACTCATTAATCGCCACGTGCCTTAGAAGGAGAAGGGTCATCTTGAGTTTCTTCCTATTGGGGTTTTGCTTGTTTTGGTTTTGAATTTGAAGCCGATGGGGGAAGAGAGATGACTTTGAAGACCATATTTGTTGTTCACTTAAATTCCCCGCAACTTGTTAAAATTTTAATCAAGAAGAAAATGATGCAATGGAAGATTTCATTTGCCTCAAACATGATCATCCTTCCCACAATTGGACAAATATGAAGAAAACTGAAACAAGAGAATCATCATTTGATAATGATAAATTAACAGCCAAATGTCCATCATTCGGTACATTTAAAGAGGGAAATGAACATGACTGAAAAGGGAAAATTATTGTACAGAGAGGCAAATGGTGGGTTTTGTTGTAGCTGAGCACGGTGTATACGGTCTTAATTATAGTGAGTGCAAAGAGGAAGATGGCGGCGATGAGAGACAATAAAGCCCAAGGACTCCTTAAGTAGGTCTAGATGAGATTAGCCCTCCACTTGTTCCAGGGCTTGTTGCAGTACTCGTTGACCTTATTGGACACGGCAATGAGACTGTTGTTGGGTTCAATTGTCGTGTACTTGGCATCAAGTGGAACAGCTCGGTGGTTTCCTTGTCGCATCCCAGGACATTCAGGACTATGCCCAAGATGTGGAGAAGCGCGACGTCGCACTCATTGTCGATGATGTAGTCCATGAAGTAGATGTAGGACGTGACCTTGTTCCCGGTCCCGACGTGGAAGCGCTCAAATGCGATGAGGTTGAGGAACATGGACTCGGTTGCTTTTTCCACCACAATCTCAGGGAGACTCAGGACCCCGCCGGCAAAGGAAATGTCCGTGAGGCTGCCGGTCTTGCTCTTCTTGAGCCGGATCCCATGCTTGTTGAGCTCAATGGCCGACAGGACTAATAGAAGGCCCTCGCACCCCACCTTGTCCAGCTTGGGCTTCTCATGGAGTAGTAGGCTCTTCCTGACGACGTTCAGGACGTGCAGGCATTTGCCTATCCTCGCGGTGTGCTTGCCAGGGGAGCAGCAATTGAGGACGAGCCTGTGAGAGAAAATATTGGGTGCCCTATGATTCCACCATGGCAAATTACGAGTCACTCACCGGGCGACATGTGTAGCCCGGGCCCCACCGTGTCAGGAGTCAGAGAAGAGAAAATTTTCAAACGAAAAGCAAGACTCTCTTTCCTCTCTTTACTTCGCGCTGTCTCTCCACTTCCAGATCTCTCTCTCCAAGTCACGCTCTGCTCTCTCTCCCTCCCGACTCACGCTCCGACGAACCACGCCGTCGCCTCCACCTCTGCCTCCGACGAGCCACGCCGTTGCCTTCGCCGTCCACCCTTCCTCGTCGAACCACGCCGTCTCTCTCTCGACTCGCTCCCTCCCGACTCACGCTCTGCGAACCACGCCGTCACCTCCGACGAGCCACGCCCTACTCTGTATCACGCCGACGCCGCCTCCGCCTCGAAAGGTACATATTTTCCTAGATCTACTCCAAAATGTGTGTAATTTTTGCATTTTGAGATATTTTGAAGGGTTTTTTCTTCTCTTTACAGTCCTCTCTCTCGACTGGCTCTGTTCTCGCCGTCCGACGAACCACGCTGCCGCCGCCCTGCTCTGTACCACGCCACCGCCTCCTACGAAGCCTCGAGAGGTACAGATTTTCTTAGATTTACCTCAAAATGTGTGTAATTTTTTTGAAGGGTTTTTGTTTCCCCTTCACAGAACGACGAATCTGCTCTCTCCTTCAAGTTAGGGTTTTGTTTGATAGGAAAGAGCGACGAATCTCCTTACCAAAAAAAAAAAAGAGCGACGAATCTACATTGTGGTATAAATTTTTAGTGCCTACATTGCTGATGTGTGATGCCTGGCTGATGTCCATCGGTCTCTTTGAACTCTAACTTCAATATCGGTTCATACAGATGAACAATCGGTAGCATCGTCTAAATCAGATCGCTTGTCATAGCTAATGACCATCAGAGGACCAAATCATTTGAATATACATGAAGAACCGATTGAAATAAATGAAAATAAGTGTTATCCTATCGAATCATACAGAGAGTGAAGCATTAAATTATTTATTTGGGGACTTAAGCATGTGCTCTTCATGTTTCCAAACAGCTACTCCACTATTGCTTGGGCAGCTTCACTCCACAAGGGTGTTCAGCTATATGACCGATACAACTGTAATCTGACTGGCTAAGTTCTTGAAAAAGATTGTTATTGCAACAGGATTGGCGTTTGCATTTTAGGACCTACGCATCAGTTAGATGGAATAAACTGGCATCTGTTTGTGTTTAGTTAACTGGCAGTGAATACAACTTGCTAGTAAACTTTCGAACTTTGTGATTGCTTCGGTCTGACTGCTGCCGTATGGAGAAAGCTGTGAAATTGAAGGAACTGCTCAAGAAGAGGAAAGTGTGGAAGAAGAGATCATGGCCTCAAAGAGATGATAACGCTCAACTGCTGTTTGCCCTCATAGACGCGAAATTATGTTCCATGGTTCTTAAGATGGAGAGGATCGTCAAAGGACAATTGTTCTGGTGCGAAGAAAAGACAAAGAAACTGGATTTGTCTGATGGGAAGTTGCATAGGGATCCCTTTCCTATCCTTTTTCCTTGTTGAATGTCATCGGAGAGATTGTTTTGGTGATTAGGCTTGGTGTAGAGACAAAAATACTCAAAAAAACTTGCTTCTATTTCAATGGGCAATACAGCATCCGTCTGAACAGTCATTGGTGGATCATAGATTGATTGTTGTAGAGCACGGTCGGTCAATGCTACTGCCCTGGCGGCTATTAATTGAAATTTTGAAGTTCAGGGTAGGCATTTGAATGGGGAAATGAGGGAGAGGCAATGTCCCAACAGGTTGACCTTTTCTGTGTAGTGATGAGGAACTTGTTCAATTAAAAGCATGTAGATTTTGCCATGCCTTCTTACTCTTTACGTTGAGCCGTTTCCTGTTTTACGGATCTTATTAATTGGCAGCATGTCAAATTAACTTTGATAACCATATTTTTTGTGGCTTCGCATTTTCTCGGTCCTCTTCTAATCCATTATTTCACTGTACTTTCAAATTTTTTTGTAAAAAGATTATTACGGACAAAAAATTATGGTTACAGAAACTAAGGTGCTTAATTAAAATCTACGGTGATTCAATCTTCCCAATATTCCACTTACGCAACGTGGGCGACATGATCAACAAACAAAAAGGGCACCCACCACCTAGCACATATTCCTTCTCCAGAGAAGTAGGAAATCAATCATAAAGCATAGCCAAAGATCTATAAATTGCAAGGAAATCATGCAAAAGAAGAATAGGAGAAGGAAACAATTCTTTCCAATAAAAATTTGCTGGAACAAATTAATCAATGGGCAAAAGAAATGACCCACGTTATATTAAAGAGTAAGAAGGCATGGGTTCCCTATCTAACTTTCAATTGAGTGAGTCTTTTAGATACTCAATGGGTTAGGAATGTTCATGTTATATTAGGAGGGACTTAGGGATGAACTCCACCATAAAGTAATGAAAAAAAAAAGAAAAAAAGAAAAGAAAAGAAAAAGGAGAAAGAATGATGATAAGTGGTGGCAGCAAGATTATCTTAAAGGAGTGAAATTGGAGATAGTGGTATTGGCTCTAATTAGATCCTAGAAATCAATGTGTTCATGGGTGATCAATGTGTTCATGGGTGATTTGAGCTTAAATTTACCGTTATCTTACTGTTAGCCCCGCCTTACATTACAAACCGAGGAAAGTCCTATTGATTTTTGATTGAATGATTTACTTACATTAGTGGAGAGAGGAATGAAAAACAAACCTATCAGATTTGATCATAATTATAAAGAGTTTTTGAGAGGTTGCATACCAATGTGAATTTATCTGGATTGCATATAATTCGAAAAGATTAGGACTCACAAACACTTGGATCACATAATTGGAATTGGTCTTGACTTATGACTAAATTTCAATGATTGGATGAAATTTGTGTTTTTCTTTGAATTATGATTTTGAGCAATTATGAAATGATGCCATGGAGGGGGTTGTCAGCTTGAGTTTGTGTTATATCTTGCTTTTGCTCGAGGACTAGCAAAATGTTATGTTTCGGGGTTTGATAACTCTATAAAAATAGAATTATTTTACTTATTTTAAGCAATAAATAATGCAATATTTGTAAGAAAATATTTGGATTTTCTTCTATTTACTCAAATTTTCCTTGTTTATGCAGAATAATGAGATATTGAGAAAAGAAGGAAAAAATGGCAAAAAGAAGGAAAGAAAGATGTCACCGGCAGAAGATTCAGAAGGTGGATGCCAAATCGAGAATTATGTGATTTATTCCCTAATTTTATGCGATAAGAAGCAATTGCCTTGTGTTAGGAGTCTTGGATGTTATCCTATAAATAGGATAACATTGAGAGCTTGAGGACGACTAGTTTTCTTTTAGACCGTTTCTTTTATTGTTCTAGGAGTTTTTTAAGTATTTTGAAGAGAAGATAGAATTCTTGTTCTTTGATTCAAGATGTTGGGTTTAATTTATATTTTCGTTTCTTCTTCTATTATGTTCTAATTTTCTTTTGTTAGGACTATGATGTAGCCTAACCATGATGATATGAATTTCATACTTCTTATCTTCTGCAAGTGATTTCATTCATGTGAGTTATATATTATTGTACTTAATGCCTTTAACTGACTAGCCACCATTTGAATGATCTGATGTGCATGTTTGAGACTGAGAAGTGATAATATGCAATTGCTCCTTATAATATATAATCATGAATTAAATGTGGATAGAGATATATCATGTTATTTGTGTGGCTTGCAGTGATAAGGTGATCCAAAAGATTCATTATAAATCGGAAATATTCACAAATTTTAATTCACTTATATTTATTTAAATTCACATAGAGATATAGTGGATTGGTAAACTGAGTAGATTTGCTATACCTAGAGATAGGATAGTAAATAGACTAAAAAATTTCGCTATCACATGTTTGATATTATTCTTGTATGGATAATGATCTAAAATTCATATCTAGTGGTTATGGTGAAATCGGATGCTTTATCATATTTTATTTTATTGATTATTTGCCTTTAGTTTCGAAATTTCGTTTATAAGATTGTCAATTTTTATTTATTTTCAATTATATTTTGATTTGTTAGATAAATTTTAGAATTAGTCCATTTTTAATATTTAATTGGTTTATTAATCATTAATATCCGTGAGACGATACTCTTCTCATCATTATATTATTTGTTCATTGCCCCATTCAGAATCTTACGAACAGGTGTGGTCCTCGCCACGATAATATGGGCCAAAGGAGACGACTTGCAGCCGGTAGGCGTTGGGGTTGAGGTTGGTGATGTGGGTAGGGACTCTGTAGTAAAAGAACAAAGGTGTTTGTTTCTTGATCTGAATGTACAATTGTTGACTACACATGAAATATCCGGCTATGTAATCGTGAGCTATTGAAGAGCTTCGACGATACTTCGATATAACATAGGAACTGAAAATAGTCTTACATCTGTACTAGAATTAGAACTAGCGGCCATAAGTGTGAAAACTGGCTTGCAACCCTCCGTTTGTGCACGTTTGAGAATTGACAAAGCATATTAGTGTTCGCACAAATAAAGTCCACCAGAGAATATCCTAACTAGGGGTGTGCAACCGGACTGGCCCACCTGAAAAACAGGTTCAGGAACCGGTTCTAACAAGAACCGGTCCAGGAACCGGTTCCATTTTTTGGAAACCGGTTAGAATCGGTCCGGTTTCCGGTTCCAAGTAAAAACCAACCCGAATCGATTTTAGAATCGGTTTTGAGATAATGTAAAAAAAAGTAAAAACCCTAGATCACGTTACTCTACTTCACCGGTTTTAGAATCGGTTTCTGGTTTAATATTGGGATCTATTTCACAACTATGAGCGAAACAACACGGCTTTAAAGTCATCTAAATATTGTATGATTCAGATGAGATATATAGACATTTCTCTAGTGAGAGCAGATGCTTTACTGCTAAGTCTTTTGATTTTCCTTTCAGGATATTTTATTAGGAAACAGAAGTGAGGAGTTCTCTCATCATGGCGCAAAAAAAAGAGCTAAACATGTTGAACAGATTCCCTGGAAAATGTGACTCTTAAAGATTTATGCAATTGGACTATGTCTTGCCACATAGTGCTTTTGGATTGTTGATTTTGATGGATTATAATTTCAATTGCTTATTTTGGGGATTGTTACTTTTGGTGGATAGTGGTTTTTGTTATTCATCTTTTACTTTGAATCGTTTTATTGCTACCTATATTATTTTGCTGGAAAAAAATGATACCGAAAAAGGAACAAAAAAAAAAAATAGGATCTCGGGTAGACCCTAAAATCGAACCGAAAAAATAGGGTCGGTTCCAAAACAAGGTCCAGGGAAAACAGGGTTGGTTTCAGATTCCAAAAATTGGGAACCGGTTATAACAGAGTTGGTTTTAGGTTCCAGGTTTGGACCCAACTTACCCTAGAACCGATCACTCCTAATCCTAACCTCCACACCTAGAAAATAGCGTAACGGCCCCATATCCTTCATCGCAATTTTGCTTCTCAATGTAGAGATGAACCCATCAAGCCATTTTGGATCATCATCTGTAATAATCATGTCATCTACATATAAAAGCAGAGCTAGAATGCCATGATCTGATTTTTGAATAAATAACAAAGGATCCGCAATGCTGCAAACGAAACCATATGCCAAAAGAAAAGAGCTAGAGCGATCAAACCATGCTCTGGGTGCTTGGTTAAGGCCATACAAAGCTCTCTCCAGTTTGCAAACATAAGAAGGATGATTTTTGTCCTCAAAACCTGGCGATTGCTCCATATACATAGGTTGCGATGGAAAACCATATAAGAAGGCATTTTTAACGTCTAATTGTTTGATAGGCCAACCTTTAATAGTAGCAATGGTGAGAACTGTTCTTATACTTCCTGGACGAACAACTGGCGAGAAAGTCCCTAGGAAATCTACTCCTACTACTTGAGTATATCCCTTGGCGACTAGTCTTGCTTTTAATATTTTTTTAAAGTACCATAGGCTTTAACTTAGACTTAAAAATCCATCTACATCCCACAACATTAGTATTTGAAGGACGTGGAACAAGAGTGCGAGTTTTATTCCGATGCAGTGTCTTGAGTTCTTCTTTCATTACCGCTGACCACCTTAGATGCTTCAAAGAAGAGTGTACATTGTTTGGCTCCTTCAGTATAGAATCCATCATATGTAAATTGGCATATTTTGGATTAGGCTTCACAATACCAACACGTGCTCGTGTAATCATTGAATGATTTTGAGTGGGTGAACGTGCTATTGAAGAATCTTGAAGGACATCCATAGATTTTTGCTGTAGTGGAAACAACCAAGTATATCGCGTATAATCATCCACAAAGCAAACATAATACTGACACCTTTGACATGAGATTGTTAGAGCCTTTCCCCATAATTCACAATGTATCTTTTCAAAAGGCTTAGTAGTACTAGATTTGGAAGGCCAAAAAGGAAGTTTAAATGCTCAATCCATTTGACAACTACTACATATGGTAGTAGGTCTATTCCAAGCACTAACAGTAATATCGCCTTTATTTTGCAAATTACAAATTGTCGTCGGTTGTGAATGTCCCAACCTTTGATTCCAAGTACTTTCATCAGCTTTCCTGAACCGATTCGAAAATAGTGCTTCTTTTGGCACATTTGAGGTATATAGATCACCTTCACGGTTTCCAACTGTTAGAACATTTCCCATTTTCCTATCCTTTATCACAAAACTAGCGGCATAGAGCTCAAAATTTAGAGGATAGTCAGTTGTAAATTGACTCACTGATAATAAATTCTTTATGCTATTTTGGCTCAAATTGATATGAGCATCACTAGTATGGAAAATTTTAAGTGAATCGCCATTTTCAACCATTACGCTATCTTTCACAATATATGGTCGTAAGTTGGAAAGGTTACCTTCATCTCCGGTCATGTGATTTGAAGCTTTGGTATCAATGAACCATTCTGAATCCTGAGTATTTCCAATAGTAAGTGCAGTAAATGCCTTTGGCACGTCTGATGGGAGGAAAGATTGATTAAATCGATTAAAGCAATCTAACAATATGTCCCTACTTGTTAAATATTTGATAGGAAACGATTTTGTCTGTTCCTTTCACGAGCTTCTTGATCTTGATTTGATTAAATTGTGGCTCGGGACCTTGTGAATGCATAAAATTAGCCCAAGAATTTTTCATTCTTGGACCATTGTGAGAAAACCCTCTTCCATGCGAAGAAAAATAATTTTTTGTTGGAATGTTGGAATTGTTTGCCCTTCTTGCTGCTCTTAAAATTAGTTCTTTGACAAAAGAAAGCCGTCTCGTGTTGAATTACGGGGGAACTTTTACTCGTGAGCTGACTCTCGAAGTTTTACAATTGCGAAATCAGGTTAGAGAATATCGGCATTGGATACTTCAACATGGAGGTTGTGAATGAATCATATTGATCACCTTAGCCATTCAAAAAAAAGACACCCTTCTTTTTGTCCTTAAGGGGACATCTGATAGAAGATAACTCATTAAAATATTTTTGAAAAGCACCAAGATACTTGTGAAGTGATGAAAAATTATTTCTATGACATTTTTGAATTTGTAGAAAAATTGAAACTTCACATTCCTCAAATACCTTAGCAAAAATATTTTGTAAAGCTAACCACACCCCGGCAGATGTCTTCAAGTCTACTACTTGAGCAAGAACGTCTTCGGAGAGCGTCGCAATTATCCATCCCGTAGAAGGTGATTTGACCTTCTCCATTATAAAAACTCTGGATTTGTCACTTCCTCCGAGACTCTAGCTTCTTTTCCGGAATCAGAGGGGGTGACTATTATTGGACTCGACATCTGGTACTCGCCATCAATGAATGCTACCGGATCTTGACTTTCAATTAGTGCAATCATCTGGGCTCTCCGACAAGAATAATTTATTTGTGTCAGTTTTAGTTTCAGTGACACAAAATTGCTAATGTTCAAAGATGAGGGGTATGATTACTTAGGATTAGTGGAAGCTATGGTTAAGGATCGATTTTTTTTGAAGATATGCTCTGATACCATAAAAGAACAAATGTGTTTGATTCTTGATCTCAACGTACAATTGTTGATATGATTTCCGTTATATATAGATATTATAAATGTTACACTTCGTAAGGAAATAATACAACAATGAAAAATAATAAATGAAGATATCATTATATTAGAAGAATTGTCAAATCACTTGATTCTAACATCTCCAAAAATCATCTTATGATTTTGATTGATATCTTGAGATTCTTCTTTCTTAATTGATAAATCAATGCCTTTACATAGATGGACCGCTTCTTCCAGTACTGTTGCTCCTCGTGGTTGGAGGGCATGAACTGGGGTCTTCTTTTTTTTTTTTTTTATAAAGCTGAAAGGAGGGAGAGAATAGGTGAGTTTATGCATTGTGTTTGGGGGTGCCCAAGCCCAATGCATCAAGTTAAAGAGGTACTACGGGACAAGCCATGTAAAGACAAAAAGTGCTTAGGTATGTCCCGCGAAAAACGTGGGAATGCACGCCATCCACATCATCTCACGACCGTGCATGAGCCTTTGAATTCAACGAAACTCGTGAGTTCTCATATTCAGTACTTGCACAGTTGCACTGTCATTTGTGGTACGGACTTGTATATTTGACGCGACATTAGATTTATAATATTTACTTTCTTTGCTTTATGATGATAATTTTTACCTATGTTTGGGACATTTTAAATTTCTTACTTGAGCTCTCATTTTCAGTACTCGACACCCCTTCTTCCGTACCTACATTGCAAGTAGCAAAAAAATAAAAGGACAAGATATTTGAAAAGGAGTAATGTTCTGATAATATATGCACTAGCTCATGACAATCATATAATTTCTCATAAATTAACTTTAGGTGGCACACATGACTAGTTATAATGATCTGGTGTGAAATTCAAAAACTTCAACATGTTTCATATGGAGAAAAATTTATTCGAGGACGAAGATATATTAGAACTCAAATCAAAGTCAAACCATTATGGCAAAGTCAATTTTCTAAGTTAGACTAAATTCTAGCGGGTTTTTTTTTCTTTTCTTTCTTTTTGGTTTCAAATCACCATTGCGCAATCAACCGTGATCATTAATGAGCACCGATGGAGAAGAACTTGGATCCATTATAACTGTTTCTAAATTCCAATCAAGAAGTACTCGAATCTATAAATAATTGCTATAATTAATAAACAGCAAACACAAGTATCTCATGAAAAAATGTCGATTTAATCCGAAATCAACTAATTCCATAAACCGATCAAATTAACTTATCATCTTCAGGATCAATTTTTCATATCAGTTTTTAGTATCCCTATTGTGACTTTGACGCAATGGACAAACATGAAGAAGACTGAAACAAGAGAATTATCATTCGATGGTGATAAATAGCAGATAAATGTCCATCATTCAAAACGTTTAAAGAGCGAAATGAACATGACTGAAAATAGGAGGAAAATCATTCATAAGTGTTAGTTTGATATAGTATGAAAAAGGGTGAGAAAATGTAAGGTTAGTGGGTGACTAATTTTGGAGCAAAGAGAGACCAATAGAAAATTATGGATTTTATATTACAAGGCTCAAAGTACAAGGGATGCTTATGCTTATCCTATTTATAGTCCTCCAATGACCGACATAGTACAAGAAAGTCTTCTACAAGAGCTTCAACGTGGACTCTTCTTTTATTACAAACATTAACTACTTCCCAAGCGTTTTTCTGCCACAAAATTCACCTACCACTAAGAGAGAGAGAGAGTATTGTAGACTATTCTAGAGAGAGTATTTAACAATAACAACAATCGACAACTAATCAAGAGAGCCATTAGTAGAAAAACCAAAAAATAGAGAAGAAAAATATTGTATAGAGAAGCAAAGGGAGGGTTCATTTGTTGTAGCCGAGCACGGTATACACGGTCTGAACCATGGTGAGCCCGAAGAGGAGGACCCCGGCGATGAGAGACAATATAACCCAAGGATTCCTGAAGTAGGTGTGGATGAAATTGGCCCTCCACTTGTGCCTTCTCTTCCTGCAGTACTCTCTGACCTTGTTGATCACGTCATGGAGGCTGCTGTCGGGGTCGAGCACCACGCCCATGGCCAGCGAGTTGAACAGCTTGGCTGCCGCCTCGTCACTCTCCATGGCATTATCAATGATGCCCCTGGTGTGGAGCAGCGCGACGTCCTGCCCCTTGTCGATGACGTCGTCCATGAAGAAGATGTAGGACGTGACCTCGCTCCCAGCCCCGACGTGGAAGCGCTCGAATGCGATGAGGTTGAGGAACATGGACTCGGTGTCTTCATCCACCACGATCCCGGGGAGCCTCAGGACCCCGCTGTCAAAGGAGATGTTTTTTAGGCTGTTGGTGTCACTTTTTTTTAAATAGATCCCGTGCTCACGGAGCTCGGTGGCTGACCGGATTATCTCCTCGCTGACCTGGCTCTCCGCCTTGTCCTTCTTCTCGGGCTCTTTCAGCATGTTCTTCCTGAAGACGTCCAGGACGTGCAGGCATTTTTCCTTGCTCACGCTGTCCACGCTGCGGGAGCAGAAATTGAGAATGAGACTGTTGATGGATTCGTCTTTCTGCATTGTTGGAGCAAAGTCAGTGCATTTTCCCTTCGTCCTGCTGTCGTATGGATTGTCCTCGCGTAAAAGTTAAAAAACAAGTTTCCTATAGTTGTCATAGATCTAATAATGAATTGTCGATTGGTCTCAAACCTTGCATCCGACACATTTGGAGCATTAGATTTGATCCATCTCATATCGCCAAGACGTACTATTAGGTGAACATAGTACAGCGGTTTACATGCATGCAAAATCCTCTCCTACGACGGAGCGAAATCTAAGGAACTAACCTGCACGCCATAGCAGATAGCAACCAGCCAATCCAACACTAGCATCGGCAGCTGATTCTCCAGCAGCAGCATGTCCCGCCTAATGACCGGATGTACGTAGAGATCCCCGTGTTTGCTGAAAATGGGGTCGTTGTCTTCGTACTCACCCTTCACCTTTCCTGTCGCATACCTCAGGATCTGGAGCATGAAGTAGCCATCAGTGATCATCAGCTCCAGGAACTGGTCTGCCGCGCCGTCAACGCTGCCCTCCTTCCACTTCGGGTCCAGCGCATCGTAGCTCGCCTCGAGGTCCCCTGCCACCTTCCTTAGGGATTCGATGTAGTGCTGGAGGAGCTTCCCGGACCGCCTGAGAAATTGGAAGAGCACGCGGCGCTTGTGGTCCTCCATGGGACGGAGATGTTCTTTGCCATGGTGATAGGGGCCAAAGGAGACAACCTGTGGCTGGTAGGCCTTGGGGTTGAGGTCAGCGACGTAGGAGGGGACCTTATAGATAGACCATTTCTTCCAGTATTGTTGCTCATCGGAGGACATGCCCTCGAGGCTTTCGTTGACTTGGATGATCCAGTCGGTCGCGTTCGGATCAGAGGTTCCGCAAGTTTCTCTTCTGGGGGATGTTATGATCCTTGTTTTTGCTTTTGTTTTTCTTCTAACACTGGAAGAAGGAGGAGAAATAGGCGACTTCATGGAGAGAGAGAGAGAGAGAGACGGGAAAAGTGTTGGGGGATAAGATGGGGGGTGCCCAAGCCCAACGTCTTGAATTTGAAGGGGTATTACGGGTCCAGCCATGTATGTCTGAGTCACTTTTTGTGCACCAGGTAAAGACAGTGGGGAAGCATGTCCCGTGAATATCGTGGGAATGGAATCGCCGGGCTCATATTAACTGTGTACAAGTAATGTCGATTGGGGTATGGACTTTGTATATTTTATGTGACACTGGATTCATGATAATTTCTTTTTTTATTTTATTTGGTAATAATTTTTAGAGAAAATGACACAAACAGTCCTTGAACTTTGGCCCAATGTGCAATGTGGCCCCTAAACTTTTAACTTAATCAATGTGGTCCCTTGACTTTTGGGACATGTTCAATGTAATCCCTGAACTTGAATTAATGGAAGAATTACATTAACATTTTCATATAGTTTAGGGACTAAATTAAACTTGTACCAAAAGTTCAGGGACCACATTGCACATTGGGTTAAAGTTCAAGGATTATATTGAACAAATTAAAAGTTTAAGGACCACATTGCACATTGGACTAAAGTTCATGAACTGTTTGTGTCATTTTCCCTAATTTTTACCTCCTATGTTTGGGATATTACAGATTTCTTACTTGAGGTACATCGCATGTTGCAAAATAAAGTAATTTTTCACAAAGAGTGACGTTCCGATAATATATATACGGTTATCGAGAAAAGTACCAAAAAAGTCCTAAACCTATTGCATAGGTATTAATTCAATCTTAAACCTTTCAATTGTGTCAATTTAGTCATAAACATTTTCACATTTTGCCAATTGAGTTCATCCGGCTAAGTTTAATTAGAAACCGTTGATATGGACGCGGTCCGTCCTACGTGGCATGGCTAGCGCTCACGTGGACATTTTTATTAATATTTTTTATTTTTTTTATTATTTTGTTGTTTTTTTCTTCTTCTTTTTTTACTTTCATTTTGGCTAGCAACGGTTGTGGCCCTTGCTAGATCTCGGCGAGGGCCGCGAAGGCCCTGGGCGAGGCCATTGCGACTAGCGAGGGTTGGCTGGCCCTCGTCCAGTGGCCGACAAGTGTCGCCGGAGGCCAAAATGAAAGGAAAAAAAAGAAAGATAAAAAATATTTAAAAAATCAATTTTTTAAGAAAAAATTATAAAAATTGTCCACGTTAGTGCTGGCTATGCCACATAGGACAGCTAGCGTCCATGTCAGCAATTTTCGGCCAAAATTAGCCAAATGGACTCAATTGGCAAAATGTGAAATTGAAAGGTTTAGATTTGAATTTGTACCAATGCAATAAATTTATGACTTTTTTGGTACTTTTCCCGACAGTTATCTCATGACAATCATATAACTCCTCATAAAATAACTTCAAATGGCACAAAAGACGGGTTATAAACATCTCGTGTGAAATTCGAAAACTTCCACTAGTTTCATATGGAAAAAAATTAATTCAAGCAAAAAGATATAGTAGAACTCAAATCAAAGTCAAACTATTATGGCAAAGTCAATTTTCTAAGTTAAACTAAATATTAGTGTGGGTTTTTTCTTTTCTTTTCTTTTTCGATTTTGAATCACCTAAACATAATCCACCGCTAGCATTTATGACCCTTAAACAACAAGAACTTGGATACATTATAACAGCTTATAAGCACCAATCAAGAAGTGCTTGAATCTGTTATAATTTATATAATTTGTAAACAGTAAACACAAATATCTCATGGAAAATGTTGATTTAATCCGGAAGCGACTAATTCCACAAACCAATCAAATTAATACATCATTTCGTGGATAACTTTTCCATATCAGTTTTAGTATCTCTAACATGACTTTGACTCCATAATCTTATTTAAAATGCCCTAATTCTTAGGCTTCGTAACTTTTTATATCAGGCATTTTTTATAACTCACTCTTTTGAGATAAATTAGTAGTATGGCAAAGTCAATTTTATAAGTTAAACTAAATATTCGTGCAATCACCATCCAACGAAGAAATCAAAATGTGCATCAAAACTTCCCTTTAAATTTCACAACCATCTAAAACGCCTAAGAAAAGTCGGGTTTTTCTCACCACTTCAGAACCAGAGTAAGCAAACCCCAATAGGAAGAAACTCAGGACGACCCCTTCCCTAACTACACAAGGGAAAAAGGAAAACAAATCCAATTCTCAGTCGGGCAAGGCTAGCATGAAGTTGTGGTGGTTGGTGGTGGGGGCTTCGTGGGCATGGCTATTGACAGCGGCAGTGGCTGAAAGGTAAAAAGGAAGAAAAAGTTGAAGAGAAATGCAAGGCGCAGAATAGAGAGACGAGAGACTGAAAGTGGGCCGTCGTCGAGGCACGTGGTGATCAATGAATGGAGTAGAGCGTGACTCACGGGAAGATCCAAGCCCCACCCAATATTTTCTCGTCCAAGATTAAAGATTCATGTCATTTCAAAAGGACTCGATAAGCCCATCTAAATCCACTCTTAATTATCTCAACCACCCTAGCCAGCTTTTATCGAATCTTAAATTGAGTTCCTTTCGCTCCGTAACCAAATTTTCCTCTTCAACCACTTATCTCATTCCTATCTACTTCTGAATGAGAGAAGAGGTTCGAGTCCAACTGGCAATAGAATTCGGAAAGAGACAAAAATCTTTTATACCAACTGTGTTTCTTTTAGTGTCTCGGTGAATCTCAACTTGTGATACAGGATTTATCTGTGTAGACGAGTTGTTCAAAATTCCGGATTTTAAAATAAAGAATTATTTTAAAAATAAACATGTTGTCAATAAGGATTTATCTCCGGTTGGCACAGATGTGAGCCCCGTGATTGATATAGAAATTTCTTTCATTTTCACAAAATATAATTCTATTTGCAGATTTTACAGATTCCTACAATCCAGCATGTTGACTTTCCATAGTTGACTTCTTGACATGGGGATTGGAGGTCACTGCTCATGTCACCTTCCCCGTGACTTGCGGAACATCTAACTTCTCCCCCCACCAAAAAAAAATGTTTCTTTTCAAAAATCAAATTCGGGTGGAGCCATTTCCAAGTTTTTATTTTATTTTTAAAACACAATTCGATCTGTTATGTATTTTGAACAACTCATCTACACAGATAAATCCTGTATCACAAGTTGAGATTCACCGAGACACTAAAAGAAACACAGTTGGTAAAAAATAATTCTTTATTATAAAATAAAGAATTATTTTAAAAGAAACACAGTTGGAAAAGGAAAAGGAAAAGGAAAGGAAATGCCCACGGTAATGTATAGTTTTAGTTTCATCCGAAATATTGACAAGAGACTGAGAACTAACCCAAATCACATCTATCTGTTATAGACTATAACAGATCCAAGTTCTTTCCGATTGGAGCTCATAAATGTTCATGGCCGACTACGCTTACGTGATTGAAACTAAAAAAATAAAAGAAGAGGAAAAGGAAAAGGAAAAGGAAAAGGAAAAGGAAATGCCCACGGTAATGTATAGTTTAAGTTAGGAAAAACCCGACAGCGGCTTTCCATCCTCGACGTCCGAAGGTGGTCCTTGGTTGTAACTCAATTATTAATCCAAGTAGGATTAGGATCAATCTTTGATCTTTACTTTCAAGAATCCTCCTTTGTTTTCAAGACTCAATTTTTCCTGCATGCTTGTACCATGTTCATGCTATATTAGAAGCACTCTTGCATAAAGACCGGGATCTTTACCTTATTTCGGTCACATGTTGCATATAGATTAATTAAAAAAAAATTGTAATCTTGAATTTGTTCAGTATGGTGGTTGAATTTTCACTCTAGATTAGGGTGGAGCCATTTCCAAGTCTTTATTTTATTTTAAAAACACAATTCGACCAAATTAACCTCACTCACAAAATTAATCATTAACTTATTTGCGCTTTCCTCTTGAACCACAATGACGGGAGAATTTTTTTTAATAATTGCTCGCGAACTCGACATGTGAATTTAGTGTTGATAAAAGAAGCGTTTCTAAGTAAATCATGCCTCGAAGTCGGATAATGAATTTTCTCTGTTCATCACGAATTTATCGATTTGCGGACTGTATATAATGCTGTCGGTTTTAGTTGTTAGAATTTTTATCAAAGCCTTTAGGTGATTTAAATGGAGGGGCAAACCTAATTACCATTCCACTTTATTTTAAATCAATTTTTCTTCATAAAAACACCAAGTACTTTCTACATGGTTTTTAAAAAAAAAATATTTTTCAGTCTTTAGGGTTTCAAGATTGGAAGGGACAGACAAAATTTATTCTGAATTGAGTCTCTAGCTAGGTGCACATTCCATGAGGCTTTTTTAAGCTTTTCTAGTGCAAGAAATACATTATTTTCTTCAAAAGAAATTTTATTTAAAGTAAACCAAGGTAAAAAAAAAAAGAGTAGATGCATGGATCACAATTGCCTAAAAATTGTGTAATTAAAGATTAATACATGATAAACCGAGTCTGAACACTAATTTGGTCAGTCGCCTTAAACTTGGCGTGTTTTAGACAAAAAAAATTGTGGAAATAGCTCTGTCCAATTTTTTATTCCACATTATATAGTGTACCTTGGACATGTGTATATTCTTAAACTATTTCGCGTGAATTTTGGGACGTTAAAATTCGGGGGTATTTCATAGGGAGAGGGAGTAAAAAACCATCTCTCTAATTTGGGGAATTGGGCGTGCGGGCATTGACATGTTAAAATAATGAATGCAGTCTTGTTAATCTGTCAAATGTATACACTTGGACAGGCGGGGCGGCCTCGGTCATATATTTACATCCTCTGCTTTGGTCAATCGACTTAAAAATTGTGTTTTAGACGAAAAAAATTGTGGAAATAGCCCTGCCAAATTTTTTATTCCACATTATATTGTATACCTTTCCCAGTTGTTAGAGAGGAGAGAAAAGCAGATAAGATTCCTTCCTACAATTAAGGTTATTTTAAGTTTGAACTAAACCTGTTTTGTACTTGACCAATTATCTCGGAAAAGAGAATTATCCACTTGTCTGAAGAATAATCATGGTTTGCATAATATATAATCTG